GAAAATGCACCACATGGATTGACTAAACTTTTAAAAATTCCCATGTTTCATGCTCCATTCTAGGGTTGTAATGTCAATAAAAGGTCCTCTAAGCCAGAGGTTTACAGATTTCTTTCTTTAAGTGAAAAAAACCTTCAAAATAAGAATAACTCCAAATGCAAAGATGCTGCATCCAGTGAGAATTTCAACGACACTACAGCTGTTGTTTTCTGGGCATGGGAGGGGAAGAGAGTTGTATAAATAATACAGCAACTTATTAGAAAACCTGTAATTGATCATTCTTTTATGTGGGTCTTGAATCAGACAAAACTAAAAATAGGGTTATATAGTCTGGGGCCTCTTGGAACATCTGTCTCCTTTTTGGTCTTTGGGAACAAATATGCCACTACTACATGAAGAGAAGACGGTAATCAGAAAGGAAGAGGAAAAACACATCAGAATAAAGGCAAAATTTTCAAACGATCTTGAGATAGCCTAGTATTTGACCAAAACACCCAAAACTCAATTCTATTTACAACTGAAGTCAGGTTGGAACCCTCCTGATGTACATATTTAATCCGTTCCCTGGCTGGCATCTCAGCAACCCCATCCTGCAGCTTGGTTGCCTGTCCAGCCCCTGCTGGCCTAAGTCAGCTGTGTAGAGATTGCAAGCGCGAAGAGCTCGGGAACATGGGGACGAAGTGGCCTAGGAACAAAGGTCACTAGTTTCTGTACTCCAATCCAGAAAAGACCTTATCCCTCTCCCTAAAGACACATTTCCTCTGGAGCTCTTCCAGGCTTTCCAGAGAAGCAAATTTTAATATATATATATGGGTTTCCCCTCATCATGGACTAAGGATTCCATTTAAGCCAGGACAAGAGCTGTCTTTTAGGTCTGGAAAAGTCTACAAGCGTTAACAGAAAGAAAATGGGGCCACCGCCACGGCCATGCCTGCCTCCTGCAGCATCCAGCGGAAGGCCCACCCTCAGATCCTCATGCAGAATCTCAAAAATCAGTACTACAAAGAAACCCAGTGGGACCTCTTCAGACTGCACCCTGTAGATTAATTTCCCAGCTGTGCTGTAGACTGAAGTCTCCAGCTGCCACAGGAACCAAGATTTGCCTAACAATGGCTCGTCCAAGTTCAAATATGGCTTTTTGCAAAAAGCAAGGCACATAGTTGTCATTTCAGGGGCTGGCATTAGTGCTGAAAGTAGGCTTCTAACTTTCAGAGGAGCTGGAGGTTCCTGGAGCAAGTGGCAATCTTAGGACCTGGCCGCTGCTGAGGCCTTTGCCCAGAACCCATCTGGGGTGTGTCTGGGTGTGTCTACCACTACTGGAGGGCAATCATGCAGAGCATGGAGCTGAAACCTGAGCACACTGCCATTGCCTAGTGAGAGGCCAGGCTGCTCGAGCAGGGCTACAGGGTCAGGGTCATCACCCGAAACATCAATGAGCTGCACTGCAAGGCTGGCACCAGGAACCTTCTGGAAATCCATGGTGAGGACCCTAAGCCTCATGTGTCATGGGGAAGGGACCCAGACCTTAAAACACATGTCCTACCATTTCCCACCTCGATGCATTGAATCAGAATCTGCAATTTGACGAGATGCCCAGGTGTCTGCTGTGCATGTTACACTGGAGAAGCGCTGGTCTGCACAGCTGCATGCATCCCTGTCCTGGGGGAGTTCTGTCGAATGGGGCTGTGCTCCGAGAACTGCCCAGCTGGGCTGAAGGAAACAGGAGGTGTGGGCCATTGAACAGCTGTAGCTTTAGCAGGATCTGGCACAGGAGGACTCTGCATTCCCTGAGGGTTATCTATTCACTTTAACTTTGTCCCGCAATTGGTCTTCTCCACTGAGGCTGTGCTTCTGCTAAACCCTCGAGCTTTTAGGGAGCTGCCAGCTCAGAGACCTTCACTGTATCAAGCCCACCAAGTTTATGACACACGTGTGTTTTGTCTTCGGTTCCTCTGGCTTCCCTTCTCTGCCCTGATGACAGCTTTCTTTCCCTCTTGTCTTCTTAATCCTTTTTTCTCTTTGCTGTCACCAAAAATCTAATAAATTCATTTGTACAAAAGCATAGAAAGAAAGAGGGAGGGGGGAAAGGAGGGAGGGAAGGAGGGAGGGAGAAAGAAAGAAAGAAAGAAAGAAAGAAAGAAAGAAAGAAAGAAAGAAAGAAAGAAAGAAAGAAAGAAAGAAAGAAAGAAAGAAAGATAGAAAGAAAATGGTACTCAGTCTCTTCAGCCTGGGGCCTGTCCTGTCCACTTACTGGTGGGCCCACGCCTTAAAATGTCCTAATCCCCATAAAAAGATGAAATGAAAGAGAGAGAAATAGTACACAGAGAAACTTCGTTACAAAATCATCTCTGTGTTTGGCAAGTAAAGCAGTGAAATTAAGCAGCCACAGGAGAAGTATAAAAATCCCTCTGGATGAAAAGGTCCTGAAGCCCACCTGCAAGGCTTAGCACACACTGGACAGCAGGAGGAAACCAAGGCCGTGACTGAGGGGCGAGCCTCACATTCAGTGTTGACAGTAACACTGAAAACAAGGTGGGGCATTTTACACCATCCCGTGCCAGCTCTTGCCAGTCAGAGGAGCTAAACAGAAGCTTCTGGCCAGAGCTTTGGACCATTGCTACCACCCAGGCCAACCACGTCAATCACTGCTCGGGTCTGCAGATCCTACCGCCCAGGGCACGATCTGGCGGGGTCATCACCCAAGCCCCCAGCCCTGCACAGCAGACGCGCCACCCTGCAGTCTCCCTACACAAGGGTGGCGGGCATGTGACAGGCCGGTAGAAACAAACCTCTAGAATTGGATTATGCAAAAGGTTTTTTATGTCAGTGAAGTTATTCTATAACCAATATACATGATAAAATAGGAAATAACTTATTCAGTGTTTTCTATAAGAAAACAATGTACTAAGTCATTTAAATGAATATATACAAGCAAATTATATGGAAAAGCATGGTATTCCATAATTTTCATTTAACCAACAGTGCAATTCAAAATCTATCTATCTAGCTAGTTAGCTAGCTAGCTATTTCAACACAGAGTTTGACCAAAAGCAACTTCTTAGAACAGTTTTGGTGCTATATCTTAACAATCTGAAGATTCCATTGGGGTGTTTCTATTAAAAACTAAAATGCTGCGGTAGGCAATTTAAACAAGCTTTTTTACCCTGCTGGACGTAAAAGCATTTATAACATGCAAATGTGCTTTGTGGAGTTCCAGGAGAAGGATAAAGTGTACAGCAGCTTAAAATTATTTGGATCACAGAACCTTAAGACAGACGGTTTCGGTGGACCGGAGGGCTGTAGAACACAATTTTGGAAATGCTGCTCTAATGAATGCTCTAATGAATTTCATACAACATATGAAAACCATTGCACATGCCCTGAGAAACTAGAAATAAAACCATATGTAGTATTAGCTTATGTAATTGAAAATATATGTATATATCAGGTTACCCCTCTATCAGGGTATATACATTGAGAAAGAATTGATGAATCCATTGACAATGCCTAGAACAGTTACACGTGTTAGTCAATAAAAAGATGGACTAAAATCAATGAAATACACTTAGCCAAGCACAACACCATCTTTCGCTGCATGGTAAATCCATTGCTTTCCCCCAAGGAAACGTGCTTTAAGTCAAAGCCCCATGCAAATGAGTCCATGCTCAGGACTGAAGCACCCTGCCAACAATAATTTCTGCTAGGTAATGCACTGTGGAAATAGAATATAAAGTTCTTCCCATGGCCAACAGTTCCATTAGAAAATGAAAAATTCAGCCTCGGCAAAGATACAAATGTTCGTTCTTTATGCTCCCAGCCAACTTTCCTGCCTTGGGTTTCTTTGGTGCTGTGCCCACTGCAGAATCGAGGAGGCAGGAAGGGCCTCTAACACAGACCATCTTAGCCAACGAGGTTTCCGTGACTTGCCCAGAGCACAGGACCTGGGGAGACTGTGCTTCCCACATGAACAAGGAGTTCAAATTGAAGGGCCGAGTCAACCCCCGGTCATACCAGCACTGATCACCCAGGCTGGCGGTAATCTGTGCTCTTTGCTACCTTGAGCCAGTCTCTGCTGCCCATCTTTCTTTCCAGCAGGTAAAGCAATCCCAGAGGGTAACTGCTGGAAATCAGGGCTGTGGAGATCCAACTCATGCCTGTTGCTCTACTGGTTTACTGCTCTAGGAAAAGGATGGACAGGAGAGGAGGAAAGTAGTGAAGAAATGAAGGAGAGAAATAATCTGTAGCCTTCAAGCCTTCTGCACCCTCCCCGATAAGCAGAGATAGGTGTCCTCCGTGGAATGTTTTACAGATGACAGAACAAAACTATGCTAGATAAAGGTGTTTTTGCAGTAGAAAACCAATGCTCTCAATATTCTCTTATATCACCTTTTGGCATAAATAAAAACAATGTGTGTATATATGTAATTATATATGTGTATGTGTATGCATCTATATGTGTATACATACATACAGGAAGAAGTCTGGAAGAATATAAATCAAAATGTTAACCATGCTACACTTTATTTGGTGTCAATTATACTTCAATAAAGCTGCTTAAAAATGTTAATAGTGGTGATCACAGAGTTAGGAATGATTACAGGTAATTATAATTTATTTCCTGCTTGTCTCTACTGTCCAAATTTTCTTGGCTAGATGGCTTTATAAACGCTACAGGAATGTGCTTTGTATAGCACAGAAGCAGTAGAGCTATTATGTAAGGTTTAAGCAAAAAGAAACTACTTTTTTTTTTCAAGCTCAGTATTGGGTAAGGGAAAAAATGTGAAAAACCAAGGGTGGTTGGAGACCAAGGAGGCACAGTCAGAGGGATCAGAAAACTTTTCCTCCTACTTGCTACATCATACGCTCTTGGCTTCATTGCAACCCAATTCAGAAAGGGAAAAAGAAACGACCAAAATGGGGCCAAACACTTAGGGAGAGAAAGTACAGAGGGCGCCCATGATACAGCTAGAGGTATTTAGACATTTGTCTATGGGAGGTACCTTCATTCCTGCTGCGGCTGCAGGACCACTGGGGTCCACGGCTTGGATGTGGCATGGCTTGCTTCCTCTTACCACAAAGCCCCAGCCAACAGCGTCACCGACAATCTAGAGAGGAAAACCACAATTAGCGACCAGCAGACAGTCCCTGGCAATTTCCCTGAGTTTCCAAGAGAAAGAAAGCCAGCCCAGGATTAAGTGTGTGCCATGACATATCTCTTCTCTGTTTCATCTCTACCCTGTCAGGGGAACAGGACACTTTGCCTCTATCATAAACACAGACATATTCATGTGGCAACTGTGGTCATGAGTCACCTGTTGGGCAGAAAGGAGCTTCTGTGAGGGCATTACTCAATAACTAACGAGGAGGTCGCCTCTTTCTTAAGCTGCTATGCGATTAATATTAGACTCGCATGCAAAGTTTAGAAAGCCTTAAACACACGGTTGAATCTTCTCTCCAGATCCAATTTCTATTCCAAGTTTGCTCTTTCCCCCTAAATCTAAATATTTTCTTTTTTTTTTTTTTTAAAGATTTTTACTGGGGAATTGGGAGGATGGGAACAGCGCTGGGGAATTGGGGGAAGGGGAACAGACAAGTTGCTGTCCTTTTGTTCTTCAGTCTAGTTGTGGAGGATGTTGCTTCACTGGCCCAAGTTGGCACCATCATTGTGCTCTTCCCGGGTGAGGCAGATCAGTCGCTGGCTTCTGGACGGCCGCTCACTGCGGCTGCTGGCCGCTCACGCTGGCTGCTGGCTGCTCACACTGGCTGCTGGCTACATACAGTAGCCCATGGCAACCCACTGCAGCAGGGGCTGTAGCCTACGCCATTGCCAGCAACTCACGGCAGCCTAGCTCCAGGTCGAGCTGTTGTTCAGCATCTTAGCTGTAGCGGGCAGTGTCACTGGCCCTCATATGTGGGATCCGAACCGGGGCCCTCTGGTGTCCCAAGCCAGCTCTTAACCATCACGCCACTTGATCGGCCCATAAATATTTTCTTGATGATCCTGCTGCTCACTGTCGTCCAAAGTACATAACAATTTAAATTGCTACTTGTGAGAAATATGAAGAGCTTTAGCTTTCTTGAAACACAATTTTCTCTATCAAGAAAGGAAAATGAAAAATTGCATAAAGGTCACAATTTACAAGGAGACGCTGGTCCAGAAGTTGTTTGAAGCCGGAGGGGGCCTTTTCCCATAGAATCATTATTAGAAATGGCAGTTACGGCCCCTAGGGAGCTCCCAGACACATCTTGAACACACATCCCAACTGAAATACGGATGAAACGCATTCACAGTCCATTCCTATCAATGCCGCCGTTTGAATTTAAAACCAAAAAGAAACACAATAATACCTTGGTTTGCGAGAATAATTGTTTTCAGAAACAAACTACTTGTATTGCAAGACATTGCTCATTTACCACGTTAAAGTGTATTAGAAATGTTTGTTCGTCTTGCGGAACACTCACAAACTACGCTACTTGCAATCCAAGGTTTTACTGTACTTTAAAGATACAATCAACTGTCTCCTGCATGCTGGAGACAGGGGTAGGGGAGGGGGGGAGGGGGTGGCGATGGAAGCAGGGAAACCAGTAAAATTTTTGTGGACATTCTTAAAAAGTTTTAGGCATTTCATTTAGCTTCAGGGTAGGCTGTTATGAGCTCATTACACCTGATTTCAGCTCCACGTGTACAGGTGACCCTTTCCCCTGATGCAGATGTATTAGCAGTGTGTTTGCATATTGACTGGCTATGACTGGGACCATCCTATTTTAACTCCTCAGTGCTCGACGTGTGAAGTGCTCCTTGACAAATGTCTGCAGCAGGAATGAGTTTGGGAAGTTTTCTCCCCCTTCTTTGCCCCGCCCGAGGTAATAAAACCAAAGTGAGAAGACTGAAGCAAAGAGAAGTGTTTTTAAAGAGGAGGTGGACATAAAGAGACTGAAGGAAGAGGCCGGGGGAAGGACAGTGGGTGAGATGCTGTCCAGCAGAGCACTGAGGTTCTGTTTGAAGAAGACCAATGGGGCTGCAGGAGCGGGCGGAAGACTGATGGGCCTCTAAGAAGGGGCAGATGGTCAGGACATGCTCAAAGGAACGCAGTGCCCTCAGGCCAGGTGCTTCTATAACTCAAGGCATGCTGACATTGTCAAAAGCACCACTTCTTCTGGTACAACAACCTGTCCCACAGTTTTCTTTCTTTTCCCTAAAGGCTCCCCTAATGCCTGAAGTGACTTTGAGAATGAACTGTAACACAGAAGGAATTAACTGCAGTATTTGCACTATCATTTGCCCTAAAATCTGTCATTATATTTAATAAGGCCACAATGGAAATCTTGCATGCCGACAAAAGGGGTTTAAAAGGCTGCATTATAACCCATCAGGTCAAGTCCTAATGCATTTTAGTGCCTAAGGGTCAAGAGAGTCCACTATGGTAATTATGCCAAAAACAAAAGGAAAATTCAGAGGTTTTCTGATTCCATCCCTAAGCGACCCACGGACACATCGCTCTGTGGATGTGGCCCCAGAAAAACGAGCAGCACAGGAGAAAAGCCAAACGATGGGCCTACCGTGAATGTCTTCCTGGCATACGGAGCCCCGGGAGTGAGGAGTTCCTCGGAAGTCACAGGCCTCTTTAACACTGTAAGACAGATACAATGTCAAGTTGCAAACCCTTCTGAGCTCTGCGTTCTTTTCTTCAGCCGGTATTTACTGAATGCCTCATAGATGACCATCAGTGAACAAACGTGGAAAAGACCTCTGCTTCCCAGGCGAATCGAGACAAAAAATATCAGCCAACATAAATACGCTTAAACCTAACTTACAGAGCTATGGAAAGAAGAAGAAACGGAGCAGGATATAGGAAAGCAACAGGGCCAGCGATGGGGAGCAAGGAGTGGGTTCACATTTTTTTCCATAAAGAAGAAGGCCACCTTCTTCTAGTTTTTGCATTTCTTTCTTTTAAATTCTGAAATGCATTCTACATGTCAAAGGTAAGAGAAAACCTGACTTTAGTGGTCTGATAGCCATGTTTCTAAAGTGGATGCCCTACCACCCCGTCCCGCAACCTACCGTGTGCATCCCCCACACCAAAGCTTCATCCATTTCCTTAATACCCTGGATTGTATGGACACAATGCCTTTTGCCCTGAGTAATAATACCGGTGAATTTTGCTGCAAACTCAACACATGCTAGACACTATCCTCGGTGCTTTAAATATATTATCTCATTCAGACATCACAAGAACTAACTAAGGAGTTAGGCTCAGCACTGTCCCTGTTTTGTTAGTGAGAAAACGGAAGCTCAGGAAAGGTAATGAGCTCGTGTTCAAGGTCTCAGAGCTAATGTGTAACAAAATTAAGATTCAAATGCAAGCGCTTGGTGCCAGCGCCCACACTCCCAGCCACTACGCTACGTGGTTCTTCTCATGCGACGCTGTCTCTGTAGCAGAAGGAAAAGCTCAGAAGCTCTGGAAGGTGGCGGTGTGTTAGTGTGGTCCCTGTAGCACACCTGTTCTCATCAGCTCTCTACTGTTGCCCACCAAGGTGGCAAAGACAGCGACCAATTCCTGACCTGCCGACTGCCTACCAACTCACCAATAATGAACTTCCCCAACCATCCTGTGCTCACTGAGACCTGGAAAAGGGACTGTCACAACCACCTAGGGTAGCCAGTGGGGTCGGGTGACAAGGACCAACCTACCCAAGTTCTACAGACATCATGAACTTGAGTGTCATAATGTAACTGGACAAGCCAGGGGTTTAACCTGGCGATGTGCCAGCCTCCGATGCCCTTTGTTGGTGGCATTTAGAGGTCACATGCCAGTCGTGGAACAAGCATGTCATGGAAAAAGGAAAGGCAACATGGGGTGAGTGAGGCCTGGGTGATTCACCAGGCAGCCGAGCCCCGCCTGGTGGTTACGCGAGCGGCCTTCTTACCTAACACGCGCCTTCCTTCTCATGAAAGGCAATGATGTGCTTCTTGTTGAGATGACAGGGATTATTACTTTTTTCTTTCAGAAAACTCATAAATGAGGAAATGAATTTATATTCCCAAACAAGATGGAGTAGCTTGAATATCAAGAACAGAACCTCTCAGCCGATGGACAGGAGGGAAGAGACGGAGTCCACAGTTGACAACAGACTGTTAATTCCCTGTCACAAAACTCCGTTCTCACCCGCCATGATCCCTTCTGGGGTTGATGAAGGTGGATATGGGGATCACACTGTGTATTGTCATATTTGGCAATAATGCTAAGCATTTATTTTAATACTCTTTGCTTCTTTTTTTAATTGAGGTAGAATGGACACAGAACAACAATTTGATATGTGTGTGTCCTGCAAAATGATCACCACAATAAGTCTAGTTAACATTCATCACCATGTCTAGTTATAAACTTTGTTTTCTTGTGATGAGAACTTTTAAGAGTTACTTTCTCAGCAACTTTCCAATATATAATAGTGTTATTAACTATAGTCACCATGCTGTGCATTACATCCCCAGGACTTATTTATTTTGTAACTGGAAGTTTGTACCTTTTGACCATCTTCGCCTACTTCTGCGCCGCCCACCCCCCCATCCCCAGCCTGAGTTTTTGTTTGTTTGTTTGTTTAGATTGTACATATAAGTAAGATCGTGTAGTTTTGGTCTTTTCTGTCTGACTTATTTCACTTAGCATAATGCCCTCAAGGTCCATCCATGTTTTCACAAATGGCAGGATTTCCTTCTTTTTATGGCTGAGTAATGTTCCATTAGATATACCACATTTTTCCTATCCATTCATCCACTGATCAATACTTAGGTTGCATCCATGTCTTGGCTATTGTAAATAATGCTGCAGTGAACATGGGGTTAGTGTTTGTGATTCCTTCAGATAAATACCCAGAAGTGGAATTGCTGGATCATATATGGTGGTTCTACTTTTAATTTTTTTTTTTTTAGATTTTATTGGGGAATTGGGGGAGGGGAACAGCATTGGGGAATCAGGAAAGGGGGACAGGCAAGTTGCTGTCCTTTTGTTCTTCAGTCTAGTTGTGGAGGACGTCACTTCACTGGCCCATGTTGGTATGATCATTGAGCTCTTCCCGGGTGAGGCAGTCACCCGCCGGCCATTGCACGGCCACTCACAGAGGCTCACTGCAGCTCATGAAAGTGCACGTTCGCTGCCTGCAAGCCCCACTGCAGCCTACACCATTGCCAGCGACTCACGGCAGCCCAGCTTAAGGTCGAGCTGTTGTTCGCCGTCTTAGCTGTAGAGGGCGCAGCATCACTGGCCCTCATGTGAGATCTGAACCAGGGCCCTGCTGTTCAGAGCTGGTGTCCCAAGCTAACTCTTAACCAGCATGCCACTCGGCTGGCCCTATGTTTAAGTTTTTGAGGCATCTTCATATTTTTTTCCACAGTGGCTGTACCAATTTAGTCCCACCCACAGTGCAAAAGGGTTCCCTTTTCTTTACATCCTCACCACCAATTGTTATTTCTTGTCTTTTTGATAATAACCATTCTAGTAGGTGTGAGGTGATAGCACATCATGGTTTTGAATCACACTGTACATATTTGGCAGCAATACTGACCATTTATTTTAATACACTTTCTCTCTCTCTTATGTTGAAATATGTAGAAACCTTGAAGCCTAGGGAGTTATCTTTCAGCTTTCTCATTTTGTATCCTTGGAAATCTATTTACTCCTCACAAAGATACCAATTATCATAATATTTGCAGCACTTTTTTTTGTTTGGCTTAGGGCATTTATATGCAGTACTAAAGATACATATCCTGGTGTATGTTGTATAATGATTAATTTTAAATGCCTTACTGTGAAGGCTTATTTATCTGCTTGAGAGAAAAAAAAATCACAGATAAGCTCACTGCATCTTGGGATCCTTCTTTTAAGACTGAGGGAGAAGTTTGTCAAGATATGGGTAAGAGGTAAGACCTATGAACCACTGTGAAATCCTGATAGCTGTGGTCCTCAAAGACTCAAAAAAGCAACCTAACCTTTATTCTTTTTTTTAATGCCTGCCTATCAGTAAACTATTCCCTTTGAGCCAAGGAGTAAGGAGAAAGAGGAAACAATATAAACCTATCTTGGAAGGTGGACATACAGTTAATTTAAGTCATTACCACTTTCTCCATATTCTACGATTGTATAAAAAACATGTCAAGTGGCTTTGGCACAACTGACCCCTTCTTGAAAGGGACTATTTTGCTTCTAACTTTAAGGGATACTTGTCAGATTTCTATCAGGGCTTCAAACACCCTATTTCTAATATAGTTCTTTCTCATTCTGACTTATCAGAAATGCTCCATTGATGGGAAAACCCAGTGGTTTGTGAGTACTCGATGATTTTCCAGCCAGACTCAGTGGGGAAGCAAGTTTCTTCATTCACTTGCAAGTTACAACTTTATTCTTAGAGCTAATCCTCTCAGAAAGCAGCGAAACAGATTTTTTTTAAAATTGCCCCCTTGCCTAGATAACAGCATTAGATGACAGTTTCCTCTTAAAGTCCTGTGAACAATACCTATTTGCCCTCATTCTCTCTTAACACCTAATTTTTTTTTCTCCAACGAGATGATGTGTTCACTGAGGGAAGGGGTCACGACCTCTCATCTTTGTATCCTCAGCTTCTGGTGATGAGGGAAAAAAAAAACAGCATGAACAAAAGGAAGAGCGTCTTCCCTGAAGGTGATGCACTAAACTGAAGGCAGACAGTTCACTAAAAAAAACGGAGTTGAGGGTGTTTTCAAGGCAATGATTATCACGATGGGCCATGCCATCTAATCCTGGGAAGGAGGTGGGTACAAGACAGTGACAAGGAGGTAGGGTCAGTGGGTTCCAGAGTCTAGTGGGGCTGAAGAACTGATGGGGTCAATGGAGGTTGTTTCTAAGTACAAGGTCATCAACAATCTTTATGCCTATATTTTCTTTTTTTTTCCTGGAATGGAAAGGCCATAGAGGTTGATGAGCAGAAAACACAAGCCTCTAAGAGTCAATTCCAGGTACAGTTGGGTTTGCACAGACCATGCTTCTTCCTTAGGGGTGCTGGGACCCGAAAGATCTTTGCATCAGCTGCAGCAGCCTGAGGAGGTGCCATTTCTCCTGCTGTAGTGAACATGGACGTGCTGCTCAAAACCTCCTTCTGGAGAGACCGAGGGGCTCCTCCCAGCCTCTGGGACTAATAAAAGCCGACAGCCCTCAGACTGCTAATGCTTCAACTGTCCTTGGGGCTATCTCTCTGAAGACAGCTGCCTTGCCTGAGGCCATGCCCTCCTCCCAGGGGCAGCCAACATTCAATGGCTGGACAGCATGAGGGTATAAAGGCCTGGCCACCTCACCCCAAGTTGGGACAATTCTGAAGAGGCATCCCAACCCCGGAGCTCCCCTTGGGGTCAGCTGCAACCTTTATGGAGACTGCACTGCAGCCCCATTCTCCCTCTGCCTAAACCTACGCCCTTCCCATCCATTCGACAGGCGTGGACCCAAAGAGTTCGCGGTGCTAAGATCCCCACACCCAGAATCCCTTCATCTGAGAATGGCCACTCACCGGACTTGGGGTTGCAGAGCACAGGGGGGCTGCTGCTGAGAGTGGGGCTGCTGCTGAAATAGCCACTGCTGCCGCAGCTGCTCATACTGCTCCTTCTGACCGCAGACACAATCTTGATCTCCTTGCTGGGGCTGACTGTGCGGGTGGAAAACACACAGTCACTGAGCGGGGTGGTCTCGGTTCCCTAGAGTACACGGGCTTTCAGTCGCAAGGTGCAGCGAGGCAAGTCACTTGTGCCCGAAAAAGCACTCTGGCCTCGGAGTCGGAAAAGCCAAGATTTGAGTAGCAGCCCTGCCACTTACCAATAGCACACACAACCTGAGGCCGTTCCCTTCAAGTCTCTGAGCCTCAATTTTCCCAACTGTAAAGTGGGGCTAATGCTGTCTCATTGGACTGGTGTAAGGAGTGGATTACACAAGGCATGTGAAAGTACTCGGCTACCTAAAATACTATTTCAGGACTATCATCGACCCTGTGCTGAGCAGTGCCTGGAAGGAAGTAAATTAAGTGCTGGCTGTACGCTTAATGAATCAGTACTAAGAAACGCCTCCCGATTTAATAGGAAATCACAAATCACCCAGAGCCCTGGAAAAGCAGATTAAAACACAGAGCACATATTTAGGTTTTGAAAGCGTATGTGAGGCAGCCACTTTGATGATCTGATCTGGTGCTCTCTGCCACCAAGCTGGCAAGGAGAGGAGAGCCAGGTATAAGATCGCATGAAAGAGGCAAAGGAGAGGACTCCGCTTAGTGCCTGGCACATGGGAAGCACGAAATAAATGCTTGCTTTTATGGTGACCACCATTGTTACTAGATCTCCTCCTCACCATCGTCACTTATCCAGATCTCTTGGGCCCATTTAAGAAACCTTAGGACTCATGAGGATGTGAATAGCAGCTCCGCATTTGCAGGAGACAACAACCTTGAGGATACACCTGATGAGGCTTGTGCCTAAGTGCAGGCTTAGATTCCTGCCTTCAGCTAGTGTTTCCTTTCCCAGAGGTCTTGGTTTATTCTCTCCTCCATCCCATCCGTGTCTAAGGAATCTGGGATGTGGGGAGCTGGGGAGGGGACAGTATAGTAACAGAAGCATAAAAGACAGAACTGGTGTCAGATTCAGCTCCGCCCACCACTTTCTGGCGGTGTCTCCTTCAGTAAGCCACTCAGTGGCTCCGTGCCTCAGTTTCTTCACCTGTAAAATGGGAACACGAGCAGCATCTTCCTCTTAAAGTTATTATGAGAATGAAATGAGAACATTCATTCCACCAAGCTTGGCTCAGTGCCAGGGGCACAGAAAGTTCTCAGTATAGTTCTCATGGTCTCTTGCTGTATGACCAAGACACCCATTTTCATTTTGCCCTGAGTTTCAGGTGAAGCCCAGAACTTCCCAACCTCAGGCCACCAGTTCCTTGAGTCAATGCCAAGTTTTCAGAGGACCTAAAGATATCCCTGGAAGCACCTCAGTCTCTTGCACAGAATGACACATCCAGTTAACCTTTTCTGGATGAGTGGGGCAATCTCTGCAAACATCAGTCACAGACATCATCATGCGAACCCTGTCATTTCTGTCAGGATTGATGGCAATTATGAAGCTGTTTGAGCTCACACGTAATGTCCCTGTCTGCTGCGCTTTACTTGTCATCCCCTCTGTCTGCTTTTCATAGTTCTTGTTCTGTGTCACTGATTGATCATGGATTGACAGCCAGTTGCCTTTTAGTTGTATGTGCTCTCAGAAGTCCTTGTTCATCCTTAAAATACATAGCATTTTTCAATGTTGTGATTTCGAAAACTGGATAATTAATAATATGTAGGAATTGTTTGTAAATGAAAAGTCAATAATGTCTGAGTGGGAGCTTTGAGAGGTCTTCTAGAGTCCAAATACATAATTTTATAAAACAGATTTCATGACATCTAAATGGACTGCCCAGGAACAATTTGGTGGTACTTTCTTTTTTTTTAATTTTTTGCATATTAATTGGTTATGAATACATAGATATGTGCTGGAAAACAGAATTTCACAAAAGGGAGTTATTACTATTGGGTTGTCGGAAAAGTCATGACGTATTTTTTCTATGTTTTTTGTTGCAAAAATGCGTCATGACTTTTCTGACAACCCAATATATTGTTTCTCAAAAGACAAAGACATGTGATCAAGTGACCAATGAGAAAGACATACCTGACATAAAACTGGTAGATTTCCGATTGTCATGGCCCTGCTTTCTTAGGCAGAAGGGACTGTCATGCGTTTCCTGGCAGGGGGATTTCTCATTGAGCAGCTCCATCAGCCTTCGCCTCCGCCGGAAGTTCATTCTGAACTGGTAGAGAAGGTTGCTGTCCACAAATGGGTGTTTGTTGGACACTGGGGAGAAGAAACAACAGGTGAGACTGTCTGGCATCCCAGCCACTGAGCACTGCAGCCGGAAGATCTCAGCCAACTGGGGCAGAAGTTGCAAGGCAGAGTTTCGCTCGACAGATGCCACCTGACCTCCCAAATTCTTTCCATGTGTCAGGTACTTTAAAAACCTGCTAATCAATTTCTCTGGGGGGATCGCTGCCTGACCTCACCCACAATCAAAGTTATACTCTTCCTGGTGTTGTCCTAGCCCCTATTTTACCTCCATCAGAGCCCTTGTCACACTGCACTCTCATTGTTCCGTTTCCATCTCAGCCTTTCCCATTAAACTCTAGGCTCTTGGGTGCAGTGATTATGGCTTCACTGAGTTGTGTGTCCCTAGTGCCCAAGCACAGCGCTGGTCCCGTAGCAACCCGTCCATTCATTTTTTTAAACTTTTATTTTGAAATAATTGATAGACTCACAGACTATAAAAGGAGAACAAAAATAAATAACAAAAAACCCCAAAACAACAACAAAAAATGATAGCATCACAGAGAGCTGCAAACATAATAGAGAGACCACATATTGTCTATGATTCTGTTCATATGAAATATCCAGGAACACGAAATCTATGGAGACAAAGTGGGTTGGTGGTTGCCAGGGACTGAAGGGGGTCTGGGAGGCAAGGTTGTGTTAGCTAATGTGGGAGATTTCTTTTTGAGGTGATGAAAATGTTCTAAAGCTGATTATGGTGATGACTGCACACATCTGTGAATATGCTGAGAAACAATGAACTATACACTAAATGGGAAGGTTGCATGGTATGTAAACTCTATTGCAATAAAGCTGTTAAAATCCACAAAAACAGATAGTATAGAGGATTCCTATGTACCCGTCACCCAAATTCCCCCAATAGTGATTTCTTACATAAATAACTATAGTGTAGTATCAAACCAGGACATTGGCATTTGTGTGACCACCACTACACTGGAGATAACGGAACTATTCCACCACGACAAAGGAATTCCCTCATGCTACCTTTTTATTGCCCTCCCCCTCCAAGTCCCTAATGCCTAGCAACCACTAATATGTTCTCCATCTCTACAATGTTACCATTTTGAAGTATTATATAAATGGATCACACAGGATGTAGCCATTTAAGATTGATGGTTAATGAACAAATGGCTATCCAGTGAGAAAGACTGGTTAGCTCCTAAGGAAAATCTATGCTTTAGAGTGCCTAATTATGCAAGCTGCCACCTCCAAATCAGTAACAATAGCTAACCTTCATACAGCATTTTCTATGAATCCAACACTAGTTTAAATGCTTTATAGGTACCAATTCCTTTCATTGTAACAGCAGTCTAAGATAAAGAAAAACCCAGAGAAGACATAGTAATAAACGGCAGAGGAAGAAACAGAACTATAGTATCTGACTCCAGAGTTCAAATTCCAAACCACTCACTAATCTCAACTCCCTGTGTGAGAAACAGTTCCTGTGCTTGTGTAGGTTCTCATAAAGAATGGAAAGAATGACAGAATCTTTACACTGTAAACAAAATAGAGAAGAGTAATGCAGCACATCACCACAGAAGGTCAACATCAATGTTAATGTCAAAATAGTTATTTGAATGTTAAACACTTGGGTGTATGGTCAGTTTCAAAAGCAGTCCTGTTCTACTTGACTGATGTTATGAAATGTGGCATTTTAATCCAGTTTTTCTGTTCTTTTTCAAGTGGATGTTATCTCTGCTGTAACAGAAATTTCTTTCCTATTGTTTGATAGTGTAGGCAGTCACAACTCCTACAGCTTTGAAGTAAACAGAGAGTCTTGCTTGTTTATTTGTTTGTTTTGCTTTTGTTTTCAGCACGACAGATCAAAACATGGTTTTATTTTAAAGATTCTATATTCATTTTGTGACAGCTTCACTAAGATATAATTCACATAACCATATAATTTACCTATTGAATATGTACAGTTCTATGACTTTTAGTATTTTACCAGAGTTGTGCATCTCATCATCACAATCAAGTTTAAAATATCTTTGTCGCCCCAACAAGAAACCCCACACTCTTTAGCCATCTCCTCCAATCTACCCATAACCCCTAGTCCTGGACAACCATTAATCTACTTTCTGTCTCAACAAATTTGTCTATTCTGGACTTTTCATATAAATAGAATCATGGGCCGGCCGAGTGGCACGTTGGTTAGGAGTTGGCTTGGGACGCCAGCCCTGAGCAGCAGGACCCTGGTTTGGATCCCACATGAGGGCCAGTGACGCTGCGCCCTCTACAGCTAAGATGGTGAACAACAGCTCGACCTGGAGCTGGACTGCCGTGAGTTGCTGGTGATGGCATAGGTTGCAGTGGGGCTGGCCGGCAGCTGGCATGTGCTTTTGTGAGCTGCTGTGAGCCACCATCCAATGGCTGGCGAGCGACTGCCTCACCTGGGAAGAGCGCAATGATAATACCAACATGGGCCAGTGAAGCAATGTACTCCACAACTAGACTGAAGAACAAAAGGACAGCAACTTGTCTGTTCCCCTCTCCCGATTCCCCAATAAAAATCTTTAAAATAAATAAATAAATAAATAAATAAATAAATAAATAAATAAATAAAATCATACACTATGTGGTCCATTGTGATTGGCTTCTTTCACTTAGCATAATGTTTGTAATGTTCATCCATGTGACAGCATGTATCTGTACTTCAATCCTTTTTATTGCCAAATAATATTCCATTGCACAGATATACCACATTTGTTTACCCATGCATCAGTTGATGGACACATGAATCACTTCCTTTTGTGGTTATGAACAATGCTGTTATGAACACTCACATACAAATTTTTGTGTGGACATACGTTTTCATTCCTCTTGGGTTTATAGCTAGGAGTAGAACGGGAGAATTATGTGGTAACTGTATTTGATGATTTGAGGAACTTCCAGGCTCTTCTCCAAAGAGGATGCCCCATTATACATTCCCATCTATGCAGCACAGAGGTTCCAATTTCTCCACATCCATAGCAACACCTGCCATTGTCTATCTTTTTCATTATTCTTCTCCTAGAGGGTGTGAAGGGGTATCTTATTGCAGTTTTGATTTGCATTTCCCTGATGGTTAGTGATGTTGAGCACGCTTTTATGTGCTTATTGTCCATTTGTGTGTGTTCTTTGGAGAACTGTCTATCCAGATCTTTTGTCCATTGTTTTTAATTGGGTTGTCTTTTTTTAAATAGATTTTATTATATATATATATATATATATATATATTTTTTTTTTTTTAAGATTTTTATTGGGAAATTGGGGGGATGGGAACAGACAAGTTGTTGTCGTTTTGTTCTTCAATCTAGTTGTGGAGGACGTTGCTTCACTGGCCCAAGTTGGCACCATCATTGCACTCTTCCCAGGTAGGCAGATCAGTCGCCGGCTTCTGAACGGCCGCTCACGCTGGCTGCTGGATACACATGGTAGCGCATGGCAACCCACTGCCACAGGGGCTGCAGCCTACGCCGTCGCCTGCAACTCGCGGCAGCCCAGCTCCAGGTTGAGCTGTTGTTCAGCATCTTAGCTGTGGGGGGCAGTGTCACTGGCCCTCATATGTTGGATCCGAACCGGGGCCCTCTGGCATCCCAAGCCAGTTCTTAACCATCGTGCCACTTGGCCGGCCCTAGATTTTATTTTTTAAAGAAGTTTTAGGGGCCGGCCTAGTGGCACGTTAGTTAAGAGCTGGCTTGGGACGCCAGCTCTGAGCAGCAGGGCCCCGGTTCAGATCCCACATGAGGGCCAGTGACACTGCCCTCTACAGCTAAGATGGTGAACAACAGCTCAACCTGGAGCTGGGCTGCCACGAGTCGCCGGCAACGGCGTAGGCTGCAGTGGAGCTGCAGTGGGCTGCCATAAGCTACCTTGAGTGGCCGGCAGCTGGCGTGAGCTGCCAAGATCCGCCGTGAGTGGCCGTCCAGAGGCTGGCAACCAATCTGCCTCATCCGGGAAGAGCGCAATGATAATACCAACATGGGCCAGTGAAGCGACAACCTCCACAACTAGACTGAAGAACAAAAGGACAGTAACTTGTCTGTTACCTTCCCCCAATTCCCCAATAAAACCTTCTTTAAAAAAAAAAGAAGTTTCAGGTTCACAGGGTAGAAAGTACAGAGATTTCTCATATACTCTGTCCCCCTGACATACACCCTCCCCTACTATCAATTATCAAGAATGTATAGTTACAGTTGATGAACCTACATTGACACACTATTCTCACCCAAAGTCCATAGTTTACAAGGGTTTATCCTTGGGGTTGCACATCCTATGAATTTTGATAAGTATAGAATGATGTGTATCTACCATTATAATATCATACAAAAATATTGGGTTGTCAGAAAAGTCATGATGTATTTTTTTTCTATGTTTTTCATTGCAAAAATGCGTCATGAATTTTCCGACAACCCAATAGTTCCACGGTCCAAAGAATTCTCTGTGCTCTACCTATTCATCCCTCTGCCCTCACTAACCTTGGCAGCCACTGATCCTTTTACTGTCTCCATAGTTTTGCCTTTTCCATATATCATACACAATAATATGTAGCCTTTTCATGTTGGCTCTTTCACTTAGTAATATGCATTTACAGTTCCTCCATGTCTTTTCATGGTTTGGTAGCTCATTTCTTTTTAGCACTGAATCATATTCAATTGTGTGGGTGTAAACCAGTTTATTTATCCATTCACCTGCTAAAAGACATCTTGGTTGCTTCCAAGTTTTGGCACTCATGAATAAAACTGCTATAAACATCCATGTGCATGCTTTTGTGTGAACATGTTTTCAGCTCCTTTGGGTAAATACCAAAGAGCATGATTGCTGGATCAAATGGTAAGACTTTGTTTAGTTTTATAAGAAATTGCCAAACTGTCTTCCAAAGTGGCTGTACCATTTTGCATTCCTATCATCAATGAATGAGATTTCCTGTTTCCATATATCCTTGAAAGCATTTGGTATCGTCACTGTTCGGGATTTGGGTCATTCTA